TACTTCATTCAGCTTTCTTATTAAAAGCAGCTGAGTACTAGCTGGTTTCCAGCTAACTCAGATGCCAAAAAAATCGCTGGATCTATGCTGTAAATTTTTATGTCGAGAGCACCTATTCACTGAAGCATACGTCACCATTAAATCGAAGTCTGTGACAGACTTCCAGCTTATGCACACAATGACTGCTGACTGACTTGAGTAGCAGATGAAATAATTGCAGTGATGCTCGATTACTAGGGCTCCCCTTTTCATATTGCGAGTGGCTGTACTTTGAAAATAGATGGTTTAGCTCAGAATAGCTTGAGTAGTTCTCCGAACATTGTGCATTGACCCGCTTCTTGCTGGCCAGAAGGAAGGCATACTTTCAAACATCCTGGCACAATGCATGATCGGAATCAAGCTGTGTGCTCCAGAAGAAGCGGTACTCTTGAATTTTCGCCCGCCACAGTTGGCTGATAGTCAGGTGATTTGCGTCTGGCGACCTCGAGATTACGCGTTTATGCTAAAAATGCATGGTGGACAGTGCACGATTGAAGATTTTCTACGTTAGTCATGAAGTAAGCATCGAGCGCCCAAATATGATTCCATGGAGTTCAGATGACCGACTTGGGCAATTGTATCGCCCACAAGGATCACCATTTCAGCGCTCCCTGTTTGACGGAGGGGCCGGGATGGTTCTTCTCAGCGTCAGAACTGCAGATAGTTGGGACATATGCCGATACTACACTCAGGCACCGCGAGCCATTAAGGGCAAATGGGCTAGCCAATCGGACGGTGCAAAAATGGCTATTCACTGAGATCAAATCCATCCAAGCGCTTTCAGCTCTGGGGCTGAGTGCGGCTATATTATATTTCATGAGTTATCGCTTCTGGATCACCGGACACACGGAAAGTGAAAAATGAACGAGCTGAGTTAGAGCCTGAAATTTTAGATGCATAATCACGCCCGGATCTTGTGTGTGTGTGTGTGTGTCTTGACTTGACTTACATCAACTATACTGAAACATGAGGTCTGGGAAACCTTGTCTCTCTATCCATTTGGCGTTGAAATCCCCCATGTAGAAGAGACATCCTGGGGATTCATCAGGGTTTTGTTTTGCTTATTGTTGACGGTAGGCGAATGGAACAAGGTAAATCTTCAGATAACTGAAAAACAAGTGAGCCCTAATGGTTTCCTTTGCAGTGAGTGGGAATCGGCGAGGAACGTCGGTGCGGGCGAGACTTTCACTTGCCCAGGCTGAGGAACACAGTTTAGTACTTCTACCTTGAGCCTTTTACTCAAATGTCTGACTCACAGAACTGTGGGAGAATGAAGGGTTTTATTTAAAGGTCCTGAACCTTGTCTGTGACTCACAGGCTGGCCCTACGAAACGGTGTGTAGTTGAGTTTTCTTGAAGGACCCTCCCCGTAGCCGATAACTTAATAGTTTGCAGTTCTGTGCTGTCTGGGGTTGGCCTAGTCCGAGGATGAGCGAAATAAAACAAAGTTGTTTCACTCCTCGATCACAGTAGATTTGTTTGGAGCCGCATGGAACTCCTGTTAAGGTTTCTTTGTTTGAGTAAATAACCGTTAGTCACTATTGGCCGTGTGACGATCGGATCGTGAGCTATTGGGGCCTACATTTTCTAACCCGTCTTCCCTCGAGGCAAGACGGCACAACTAAACGCACAATTGGAGACATACTGGTTGCTTGGAGGAAACCTCCAAGCGAACCGCTGTTCACAAGCTTCCGGACTTGAATATCCCGCGGTAGTGGCACGATAATCATGGTAAATAAGTGTAACACGGTTACATATAGTTTGGACGGACAGCCTCGAAAGACAAGATTCAATTCCTTTCAGTTATCGAATTATTGATCGTCTTCACTGGGTTCAACTGCTACAGTTTATTTCACCATAAGATAAGAAAAATATGAATATGATTGTCATGGGGCTTAGTTCATCGTTTTTCAATTGTTCAATTATTCAGTTAGTGCGCAGCAGGATGACTACGCTTTGAACAACGTAGCCCTGAAGCGCGTACGTGATTGGCCATAGGACTAGCCCTGTCTGTCAGTGCTGTTAGCTGGTTGTATGACCCTGGAAACATGCAGTTTTGAGCGATATTCCGGATTTACTTCACTGCCTCATCAAGCACACACTGCAGAATGCAATGTGCTATGGTAGTGCCGGTGAAGCGGACCGCACGGACCGTTGAGCGTAAGAAGACATTTGGGCCCATGTGATGCCTCGACACATCACCAAAGCCAAACAAGATCACAGTCTACACCGCTGGCTTCGTCAGCTGTCCGTCTTCTGATGGGAGCAAGCATTGAATTTGCTCGCATTTGATATCGTGCTCAGCACGGCAAAGAACAACAGAGTTCTAAAATTGCTGAGTTCTCCGGTAAAGGCAGATGTGCGCAGGCTGAAACAGCTTTCCGTTCCGTGATAAACTTCGTAGAAATCCTCTGACAAAGTAATTTCTCCCCTAAATTTATTTATTGTTGTAATCTGTAGTGTGCACCTGATGAGGTACACAAAAATAAATCCGGAATATCGTGCAAAATTGAATTCTTGTGACCCATCTTCAAACGCCGTTAGGACAGTACTTTGAAGACTCAAAATTGCGGAATCTCTTTGTACATCTCCCATGGAAATGACCCACCTTTCTGACCCGTATAGACTGCATGGCCACAGTGCCCACTGTGCCAGTAGAAGGCGAGGTTGTGTCAAGCCGTAGGAGTTGGAGGATACTAAATGCCGCTCTGGTCTTGCAAACTATAGAGCGATGATTGGGAAATTTATACACTTCAGTCAAATGGATTCGTCTCAACGATCGGTTGTTCTGCACGTTTGATGTCTAAGTTTTTTCCCACCCGTTTTCGCGACAGCTTTCTACACTTTGCAAGTGTATGCGGCAGAATATCTAAGCTACTTAAAATAGCCTGTATTCCTGAAATGATTGCTTCAGGAGAAGGTTTGTTGCCCTCACACTCACTCTACCTGTATGGACATCCCAGAGCCATTTTAACCTCCGTGATATCAAAGCCAATCATGCAATTTTCAAGAATCACACGGATAATGAAGTTCACAAAAGATTAGGAGGCAGGTTTATCTGATGAACTCAGGCGAAGTGTTGTCATAAGTCTAAACACTTACACAGGATTGGAGCACAATATCTTTATAAAAGGCAACAAATTGGTCGATATATCTTTCATTCGCAAGCTCTACCAAGGTTTCTGATTATCGACAGAGATTATGGCAGCCTTAAGCTCAAGAAAATGACCCCCGACGGTTACTGAAACAGTACTGTTAGTTAGATATGTTGCGGGATGTAATACTGAGCCATATCCAAGCCAAAGTGGACCTATGCTGTTTCTCACACATGAATGTCTTCTAATGATCGGTGCTGAAGGTCATGACTACCAGCAGAGTCCCATGATCAATCAGTCAATTTATCGGCTATAAACCATGTGCCATAGGCATATTGGTTCCAGCTGCTACAGTTTCGATCACCGGAAAACGGGGAATTATAATAAAAAAAACCAAGCATTGGGGGCGAAGGCATGCTTAGCTTGTTCGGAAATTGGGTAGCTACGAATTGAAGGCGTTGGCTTTGATGCAGAGCGCCAATGACTTCGCGATTGGGTCATTTTCACCAATGTTAATAACTGCTGGTGATTTGACTCCCAGGGTCCTCGTCAAGGGAGGCAGCAGTTGCCCACCCGACTAAATTTACTGGCTAGTGTCTTCGTACTTCGTTGCCAGGTCATACACTGTCCATCTCTCGGTTGCTTCCACTCAGCACAGGACCGGGCGAAAAGAGCTCCACGAAGCAGATGATCTTCTGGAATGCGGAGTACATGACCCAATCAGTGCAGCCCACGAAGCGTGAGTAATTCCTCTATCGCAGGAGAGTTCCTTTTCCCAAGACTATCTGGCGTACCTCAGCCTTACCAATGCGATTTTTTCCTCCAGACCTGACTTCGGAGACACCGACGATCAAACACTGACACCTTCCGTATATCCTCTGAGCTAAGGGGCCACGTCCTTGATCCACAAATCTGTATGAATCGCACCACTGCAGTGTAAACTCTTCCCTTAACAAACAAGCCCATGTCACGCCGGCATCATAGGTGTCGGAGGTTGCCAAAAGCAGCCCTGGCCTTTCCGATTCGAGAAATAATCTCATCGCCAGCCAGTCCACCGGAACGTACACAGCTGCCCAGGTAAACAAATTTATCTACCACGTCGATTGGCTCACCTGCAAGCATGAGGTGTGGGTTTGATCCAACCCAGGCTTCTTTACACTTTGCAGGTGTGAAGAGCATGCCAAACCGTACGGCAGAGTTATTTAGTTTACTCAGAATCGTTTGCATTTGGGAAGGATCTGAACCAAGCGGAGCAATATCGTCCGCATACTCAATGTCTGTGAGGGAACGTCCCGAGAGCATTTCGACATCCGAGGTATCAGAGGCAGGCAAAGAAATTTCAAGCAGCATATCAATAATAAAGTTGGAGAGGAAAGGGGAAAGAGGACAGCTTTGTTTTACACCACTGGATGTGGTGAACTCAAGCGAGAGCTTCCCGTATGCTCGCACGCGCATTCAGGTGTTCGCATACAGTGCCCCCACAAGGGGGAGAGGACACCTTTGATCGCCAGACACTGCCAAAGTTGCTGACAATCGACAGAGTCAAAACCAGCTTTCAAATTCAGGAAAACGACCAACGTGTGACGTCTGAAGGATTGGCGCTCTTCAAGAATTAGTCGATGCATCCTCGATCAGGGTGAAAGCCAGCTTGATTCTCACAAATCTGTCTCTCCAGATAATCCGTCAACCTGCGCAAACTAATGCCAAAGAGCACTTTAGATGTGACTGATACCAGGCTGATACCGCGTTGGTTTTCGCATGACTTTCTTACGTCCTTTTAAATCTAGGATAATGGTCGAGGAGCTCCATTCGGCTGGTATTCTGTTTTCGTTCCAAAGTTTCTTCAGCGTGGTTGTCAGACTGTTCACTAGAACCTCACCACTTTGTTTGAAGAGCGTGAGGCATAGAACATCCGGGCCAGGTGTCTTGTTGCGCTTCGTGATTGTAATCTTGCACTTGATTTCTGTTGCTGATGGTGAGTTGGTGTCGTTGTTTCTTTCGGGTCGGTTGGTTCTTTCAGTGGTTGTATTGAAGGTGACCAGGTAAACTGTTCTTGGAAGTGCTCAGCCCACTGCTCAAGATGGCGATTGAGGGAGTGAATTGCTGCTCCGATTTTTCGCATGTTGTCCCACTGACACCTGCCTTCTTTTGACCCGTTGATCAGATCAGTTGAAACAGAGTGCGGCTGTTGCTTGCGGCGAAAGCCTTCTCCATCTCCTGGGCCTTCGAAATCTACCAGCGTTCTGTCATTTTTCGAAGCTCCTGTTTATCCGGTGTTTGAGGGTCGGCGTGCGCCATCACAGTCGCTAGGTGCTGGTATGGTCTTTCTGGCAGCGACAAGATCTGCTGATCTCGAAGATATCCGGTTTTGATGGAGTCGAGTCAAATGGGTTGGACAAGCAGTTCTGAAAGCTGACAGCACTGCTTGTTTAACTCGCCTCCATTCGTTCTCCATCGTGTACTGCATGTACGGAATCATTTTCACCTAAGAAGGGTGCTGTTTTCCGTTTACAATTCAGATTGGAAAAAATAGTTTGGTGCTCAAACGTTGACCTGATAGACGGATGTGAAATTAAATGCGAAAAGTCTGGGTCCTCTCAATGCGATTCCCTTTACAAGATGTAGTCGTCTTGATCCCAACTGTTTTTGCAAGATATTGTTGCCAGTCGACATCAGTGGCACTCCTGTCGTTAATTCTCATCCAGGGTATCTAAGTAAGTTTGTAAAGACGTAGATACCTCACAAATAAATTGTGATTTTATGGCAGCCAGGGTGAGATGGAGTTGTCGAGGATGTTGATAACAATGATGGTGGTGATGACGTTGATGAAACGGTTAGACTTTTTCCAATAAGCGAATTTACTGTTTGGATGTATGCTTTGTGCCGTGACTAGACAACGTAATGACAAGTCACTTGGTGCGCCCCAAATTCCGTGCAAAATGGGGCACGGAGATTGCGATGTCGAAAGTGTAGGTGTAACTCGTAAGCAACTGCATGTACAAATTGCTTGACGTAAAATGCACGCAGTTCTTCCACGCCAAATTTCTGCTTGGCTCTACACACCACATAAAATCTTGGCGATTTCACTACGTACCACGGCAGACCACGTACCACAGGGTACCATAGTACTCCCAAACGTCGCTGAGCCAACCCGTACTCAATCCGCATGTGTAAAAAATGATGGGCTCAAACATGTTCGTAAAAAACAGCTTTAGAAGTAACGCACTACTCATAAGTTTGCTAAAACTCTTCGACGTGAGCTTTGTCCTCCATGTCAAGCATTCCTGTGAACAAATTCTACGGACAACCATCTCTCTTGCCGTTCAATGAGCAATCGTCTTAAGACCGTGGTGTAGAATGAGCGGAACTGTACTGAGTTCAGTAACCGAAAAAAATGTTTTCATAAAGGAGACTACTCACAAGGTTGTTGAAAACTCTCCGACAGCCCACGAACGGTCTCGCCCTTCTTGGGGCTCATCAGGTAGGCGCACTCCCCGAGTTTCCGTCAATCTTATTTACTACTTGAACCCGAATCGGACTGTTTTCGAGAAATACACTCATTTGCAAATCAATTTGGTTCTCACGAGAGACTCAACTGTATTTATCGTTTATGACATTCTACAACTGTGAGTAGTTCCCTTTATGAAAATATACTGCAATATCTTGAATATCGTATCAACTGAAACAAGGCGGCCTGTGTGCAGCACATCCAGTGGCAAAATATCATAAACGAGAGATTCAGTCGTCTCTCGTGAGAACCAAATTGATTTGCAAATGAGTGTACTTCTCGAAAAAATTGTTGTTCACTCTAATGAGCTAATCGCCTACCGAGCGAGTCAACATCACTGTCCGTCAGAGATGCGTTGATAGACTTATACCGCTCTTTGGAGCCCAATCAGAGATTTTTATCGTCAACTGCTCTCAGGATTCTTGACTAATGCTCACCGAGACTACATCTCTTTTCCAGTCGCTTAGCAAAATTTCACTGTGCTCACCGGATTCACACAGCATTTCCCAGATGCTTTGCAATATTCCTCCTTAGTTCTACGTGACAAAAAGGAGAATCCTCGTCAGAAAGGACGAACGAATTAATTCATTCTTGAGCACTTGTTCACCAGAACCCTCTTGGGCAAGGGTCACCAAAATCGGATCCCGAGCCATAAGTCGATCATTTCATGACCATTGCTCAGCGCTCGTGTAGTGCCCTGGTAGAGATCACGCTGTTGGATCTGTCCGGACGAAAAAACAACTCATTATTTTTGGCCTTGGAGACCTAGAGCCCAATGCTAAGGGCCAGGGTAGATAAACTCTAATCGCCGTGGAGGAATCCCTTAGGCAACACGTCAGGAAAGTCAGATTCCTGAAAATAATCCCAAGATACCCGGGACTCACTGAAATGATCAAACCTTACTAAAATCACAGTAGGAGAGATTGTAAAGGTGTCAATGGGTTGGGCACCGGCCGATGGAGAAGCATGGTTGATAACGATGGGTGTTCACGCATTGTCGATCAGCCAGCCTGGATCAAAGTCGAAAGTGCGCTTCAAGTACCGCGATGCCGATGGTAACTTGGCACCTGTTTGTCCGTAGTGAAACAATCGTGTACCTTCCTTCTGAGTCTTCTTTCGACTCTAAGGCACTGGAGGGGGGACGACAGTTAGTAACAACACAGTGTTTCGCGATTTGTCACACATATACCCGCGACCTAACCATACTGTATTGGTGGCTACCACAGAATGAACAGCAGCTGACCAGGTTGAGGCGTCGTGGGCTTTTCAACATGAGTAGAATGATGTATTGGTCCATTCCAGTGGCTGTTTTCGGGTAGACCGGCTGACTTTAACAGTCTGTTGGTGCAGGGAAAATAGCCGAGCACTTTTTTTGTTTAGTGCACGGATTAAACTTGCAATTATTCTCCTATCTCTGGGTCTGCAACATAAATCTTTTAGCGAGACAAGAAAAGGTACAAAACTGCTTGATGATGCTGAGGCAAAATTTGATACAATAGGGTTTTTTGCAATTCTTTGAGCCTGTTCACATTCCGGAGTTTGCAAATTATCGGACTATAGTTTTAGGTTTTGGCTGATTGGTCTGGAACTTCCCTTTGAAAAAAGTGGATCAGATATAAAATCCATTGATGTAGATTTAAGTGATCTGAGAATTTTCAACACGTTGCCTGTCTGACGCAGTGAATTTCGCTCGGGCCGACCGATTCTTTTATGTCATCCAGTCATTTGATTATAAAAAGGATAGTAAATAATCAGAATCAATTTGGAAGTTGGAGAATGAGACCCAAAAAGATGTAAAGAGTGATCAGAGTGATCCCAGACGACATTACTCGAAAATATCGATCCATGAGAGAGAAGTTTGTGCTCATTATGATTCTCCATATTATAATTCTGTTGATTTATCAACCCTCATATAATGATGGTGTATGTGGAAGTTTATCTGGATGTGATTAGCCAAGAATACCTAGAGTATAGAGGTGGCATTTGTAAAGGGGTCACCCGTAAAGGGATTTCGCCTAATGCAGAAGCCCCAGGTATTTATTCAGGCAGTTTTTGAATAGCAACTTTTTATCCGATAATTGCATGAGACGTGACAGCCATTTACGTACATAGGACTGTGAATTCATTCATGCGTTCTTTGTAAAACCTCCAGTGACTTTGTTCAATCGCTCGAGTCTCCTGTCAACCATGGAGTGCACTACTGTCTTGTAGAATTCCGGGCATAGAGTATGATCACAGGTCGAATCAATTCCAACAGCCCATCGCCTTGGTCACCTCAACTTCCACTCCCTAATGATTCATTGACTTATGCCATGATGTGTCAAGATCGATCCAACCAGAAAAAAATAACCGGTCACGCAAACGGGCTCTCTATTGTCATCATCATTGTTCCACAGACGAGTCAAGCTTTCTGATATATTACTCTGCCCAAATTTGTGTTTGAGATGTATTCATTCAAGAAGGCATTCACTGTGGAAAGTGAGCGTTCTTTTGAGGTAGCTGGTTACCACTAGAGTATGTAGGTGGATGACACCGTCCACGACAAACTATTCATACCACCGATTACGTCAAATTCGGTCTGACTCGAAGTGAAATTCACTGTCATAGAGGAAACTACTCAAAATGTTGCTGAAAACTCAAAAGAAAGATTTGTGTCGAAGAGTTTTCAGCACACTTATGAGTAGTGCATTACGTCCATTCATGTGTCGCGATATCACGAATATTGTGCCTATTGAAACACCAGGTGGTCTGATGCAGCACATTCAGTTGCTTAAAAAAACACCATAAACGAGAGATTCAGCTGGGTTCCAGGTGAGTCTCCCATCAAAACCAAACACGTTTGCCAATGGGTATATTTGTCGAAATCTGTTCAATTTAGGTTCAAGAAGAACATAATGTCAACGGGACATCGGGGCTGCGCCTACCTGATGAGCCCCAAGAAGGACAAAACCAGTCGTGGGCTGTCGAAGAGTTTTCAGCAACCCAGTTAGTAGTTTCCTTTATGAAAACAGTGAAAAAGTTGGTAGTTGGTCAGGTTGCTGTTGATCTGTTGTCAAGCTTGGTAATTAGCTTGCGAACGTTCCGTTTCCAGTCGAGGGGACATCATCAGTGCACACATCCATAACTGCCTGTGTTTTTATAGTTTTCAAGGAGCATCTGGTACCCTCCCATGTGACTGGCTAATTAGTGAATGCCTTTGTTGCAATCCCATTGACCCGCTCACAATTTGCGTTGCATTGTGATCTGTACTTCTCAGAGTTCACTGGTCTGTTGGATAGCAACTTTTGGGGAGGAGATAAGGAAATGCCCACTCAACTGCGCAGCGACAGTCTCCTCATTTGGAGAACTGAGTAAGCCATCGCCTTTTCATCTGACGCTCTGCTGCTGATGATGATGCTGTCAAATTTCTTCAGGTGTATCCCAATCGAGCAACAGTTTTCCTCATCCACAGACTCACAAAAAATTGAGCAATTCCGCCTGTTCAAATCACAGTCGACACTTTTCATATTCATTGTTGAATAGTTATGTGGGCGCTGTTTTCAATATGCCAGTCCAAAATTTGCCCATTGGGTGGGCAGAACGATTTGAATTTTGATTGGAACCATGATAAAATAGACAAGTAACGTCTCCCTTACCTTCAGGCTCTGCCAGCATGGCTACGAAACGATGTTTTAAGTGGAAGTGGGTTGGGCACCTCGGTGTGGCAAAACGCTGCAGGACGAAGAATATAAGGGCATCTAAATGTGCTGGACAGGGCAAGCAATTGTTTTACACATCGTGAAACACGTTTGTGAAAGGACGTGCCTCGGAAAGAGAGACAAGTAGGGTCTGTTTCTAACCGTAGATTCGTAGCGTCCCTCATTAATATGGTGGATGGTGCATAAAAGTCATCTATCACGAAACGGACCCTGTAAATCTACAGCGTCTCCGCGATTAGTAGCAGACATCTCTAGAGAAAATCTAAAAGAACCGCATAAGGTTGAATTCGCGGATAGAAGAATTTTTTGAATCACATCAGTCTGGGGAAGCACTGTGTGTAAGCTGTCCGAGTTGAAGAGACAGGATTTTGAGTCAGTAGATCACGAGTTATCATTCTGGTGACCCAAACTCGATTCAAAGTGAGCTCTTTCACATTAGTTGTCGAGTTTTGCCCTGTTGGTCTTCACGCCTGTTTTTTGCAAATAAAGGTGTAAAAATGTACTCCAGACTTCAAAAACCTCTGAAGTAACTCCCAGCATGTGACGTAGAACACACTACTCATAAGGTTACTGGAAAATCTTTAGCAACCCACAACCGATTTTGCTCTTCTTGTGGCTCATCCGTTTGGCCTAGTCCCCCAGTTTTTGTTGGAGTGGAACATCTTAAACAAGATATTCAACTGGATTCAGCTGAGTTTCCTTTCATGGCCAAATTCATGTGCAAATGGGAGTACCTATCCAGAATACGTTTGCTTTTACACTTTGGGCGCAATTAAAACTCTCTGATGTTCTATTACTTTTATACATGCTTTTCAATGTGATCAGGAATGGTAATAGTGATGGAAACGTCAGGGAAGATTAGATAAGTGATTCCCCTCTCTGTTCACTCCCCCTCTCAAGAGAGTGTCCTTGAAGAGATTTGCTTTCAAAAGGTGGGTGAAAGGACATTGTACCGGAGTTGTTTAAATTACGAGAGATAGATTGCCTCCAAAGAAAGAAAGCCGCAACTAGTAAGCAGCCTAGTCACTCAGTATGAAATGTATCTGTTGTGAAAATTCTACTCCATACTCATAATCACAGCTTGGAGGCTTAGTTGGGCTGCCACTGACTAGTGTCTATTCAAAACCCACCGAGTTAGACAGTTATTCCGAACTGACACAGAAATGCCTTTTAGAGTATTTTTTTGACAGGTGGAGGGAAGGCTACCTTCCGAAACCCTCTGTAGTAAATGTGTGAAACACTCAGTGGAACATGAAATAGCACTCCAGTGGTTATAAATTATATAGCCTGTGAATAAGGCGTTGCCACGGCGAACCTTGGATGTTTGAACAGATGAACCTACTTTTGAAATGAGATTGATGAAACCGAACGTGGAAGGGAATTTTTCCAAAACCGGTCAGTTCTTGAGATGAGGAATAAGGGAGAACGAAAGAGAAGTCGAAATGCACTTTCATTATATGCCGCGTTGCTTATAAGATTGCTGGGGGATATACTCACAAGTTTGCTGAAAACTCTATGACAGTCCACGAACGGTTTCACCCTTCTTGGTGCTCATCAGTTAGGCGCAATCCCCGAGTTTCCGTCAATCTTATATTCTACTTGAACCCGAAGTGGACTGTTTTCGAGAAAAACACCAATTTGCAAATCACTTTGTCCTGGGCTGTCGAGGAGTTTTCAGCAACCTTGTGAGTAGCTTCCTTCATGGAAATATACTGCGATATCTCGAATACCGTGCCAACTGAATCATGAGGCGGCCTGTGTGCAGCACATTCAGCTGTAGAATATCATAAACGAGAGATTCAGTTGAGTCTCTCGTGAGAACCAAATTGATTTGCAAATGACTGTATTTCCGAGGGATCTTCGACAGCCCATGACCGGTTTCACCGCTCCTGGAGCTCCACAAGAAGACCTTGGCGTTAACGTGATGTTCTAACTTAGCACAAAATTGTACGTAAGTAGCGAACCACACTCATTTGCAAATTAAGTTGATCGAAAGAAACCAAGGAAGGCTACTCAAGATTGACGAGGTTCTCTGTCTTACCAAAATATTACCAGCAATCGACAGGCTTGTTCAACAATCGGTTGCAACTGGAAAATATCAACTAGTGAGCGTCACAGCTCCAGATCGAACTCCCAAAGAATATTTTAGCATGCACTGCAAGGAAAAAAGAAATCACGTGACAGTTTGGTAAAATTCACAAATTCACAACGCCGAAATATCAATACACCGTAATGCACTTGACATGTACCAAACTTGTACCCGGTCTGTATCTGACTTGTACCTGCCTTGATAATGTACCTGATAATGTACTTGACTTGAACAGGGGAGAAAATTAGACAGGACAAGAGAACTGTTTGTTTAACATTCCACCAAATAAATGTGAGGGGTCCGCTCAATAGTAGTACATGACGCTACGTGTAACAGTTAAGAAGACCTTATCAAGACAGATGAAAACTTTATCACCCGCAAGAACCGCTCGCAGAGGAGGAGGAGATCCATACTCAGAGGTCTCCAGTAAGACTGGTCAGAATGAAATCGGTTTTAGGATTAAAACAACCAGTGACGGATGAAAATGTACACCATAGAGCATGAGCAACGCACAACTGTGGCTAACCAAAGGGGGCAAGATCAAAACTAGTGCTAAAATTTGGAAGTTCTGAGGTAGTTCTGAGGGAAACGTAGATTGTTCGAGCAACGAGAAGCTGAAACTCGATGTGAGTGATCATTTTCACGGACAAATTAGTCAAGTGGGCGATTGTGGAAGTGGGACCAAAACAAAGCCTCTGCCCTGGCGAAAAGAAGAATGCCTCCACCGCGGAGTCATTCATTGGAAAGCGCCAAGTGAAGAGTTACAGACTATTGGACAGGGAAGCAAAACTGTCATATGCATCGTGTTAACAGAAACTGTATATCCATCTCCTCCTAGAAGGCATCTTCCTGAACTTTCCTGGATATTCATTGACTGTTTCTCCAATGCATGCAAATGTGACTCCACAAATTCCATAATAGATCTCACTTTTCAAGAGACGCGAAGCGGATTTACGAGAAGTTATACTACTCGCATGCCCCCATCAGTAGTATCCACCGTTGCACCGGTAGTAGCGACAGAAAGCCTATTTCTTGACACTGGCAGTAGACTATCAGTCAACCAGTATAAGACGCATAACACTTTGTTGAACACTATCCAGGAGTGAGGACTGTGTAAAATCAGTTCCATCCCAAATATGACAGTAGAATGGCTTCAAGACCCGTACAAGAAAAGCTGAGAAGGGAGATCGAGTTAACTGAAGGCTGGGATTGCAATCAACCTACCAGGTGTGCCTAAGTAAGACTGCTCAAAGAAAAAAGACCAAGGAGAGAGTGGGTGAATGATTGGGGGGATCAGGAACATCAAAGTGTATTGGACGTTGATAAAGGAATGGCGAACAGAGGTGAATGTGAGTGGACTTGGTAAGGTTGAATGTAGCAGCATCCAACAAGCCTCAAAAAGGAATGTCCGTAGATTCGACGTTCAGCGTTCACACAGTCATCTTTAGTCCGCGAAAAGGTGGATCTTCAATCGGACGGATTGTCCGAAAGCTTTACAACCAGTCCACAGCGTCAGCATGTGAAAGGTTAGCAATCAGGATGTCCTGTCATACTCGATCGGAGACCTCTGAGGCATCAATATGCACCCCATTTGGTTTCACAAGTTCACAGCTGAGATACTGCCAGGTCCACCAGACTCAGACAGGAGGACAGTTAGGGTCCTCAGTCAAGGCATTTGGCTCAAAATTCTGACAATAAGGCAGCGATGCTGCATGGGACTATTTCAGTAAAACTCAACCGGCTGATGAGGTACGCTATCCGTGTACCACCATAAGGTAACCATGAACTTTACAGACAGAAGTACATTCAAACTACATCGACCGACGCGTGGTGACATTCAAAGCGTACTGTTTAAAATATCTATTATTCCTGAAACAGCTTTCAGTCTGAAGCGAAAAAACTCAGCATTCAGAAGCAACTGGCGTGTCCTCGATAACTGCAGGGCCCAAACATTTTACGTTTGGGAAGTATGCGTAGGTGTCCTTATCCATGATTTGCCGCACCATCCTTCCATAAAAATTTTCAACTTCATTCCTCTCCTTTTTTTAATGACTCGTTTCCGCAGTCACAACAATTTTCATTATTCGATGTAATCTAAATTGACCCTGTCATGCAAACGTTCGATTTTTTCAACTGAAGTCCCATACTCATGCCGTATGTGGCTACCATTTAAGGTAATTTTGGCCTCTTTGTAATGTACTTCTCATAAGGTTGCTGAAAATCCGTCGACAGCCCACGACCTGAGAACATCACAAACGAGAGATTCAGCTGGGTTCCAGGTGAGTCTCTCGAAAGAACCAAATTAGTTTGCTAATAAGTGTATATTCGCTGATTCCGTGCCATTTGGTTTCAAGTAGAACGTAAGGTTGATGGAAACCCGGGGACTACGCCTACCTGATGAGCCTCAAGAAGGGCGAAGCCGGTCGTGGGCTGTCGATGGATTTTCAGCAACCTTATCATTAGTACATTACAAAGACATTCATGTATCGCGATATTTCAAATATCGTAGTGACTGAAACATGAGGCGGCCTGGTGCAGCAAATTCAGTTGCCTGAGAACATCACAAAAGAAAGATTCAGCTGGGTTCCAGGTAAGTCTCTCGAAAGAACCAAATTAGTTTGCAAATGAGTATATATTCGCCAAATCGGACTGCTTTCGAGAACTACATTCAATAGCAAATCAATTTGGCTTTCAAGAGAGACTCAACCTAATCTCTCGTTTATGACATTCTAGGTGAGTCTCTCGAAAAAAACAAATTAATTTGTAACTGAATGTATATTCGCTAATTTTGGCCTCATTTCCCAGATTGTGCTTTTTGAGGGTTTCCTGCAAAGGTCCTTCCTTCTTGCCTTCCCCTCTACTCCTCAGTTTTATTTCGTGTTCCCTTTTTTATCATGCCCATCAGCCCCGATGACATTCTGATCATATCACGTTCCAGGTGTCGGCCATACAATGAATTTTCCTCCATTACCGCACAAACCCCAACTGGTATATTAATTCCTTGGCGGGTCATGAATTCGCTGAATTGTGGGCGATGAGAGTCACTCAACAGACCGAAAGAAGCTAAATCACCAAATTCAATGGTCTGTTCTATAAACGTTTAGTTGGAACTTGTTTACTCACATGAATTTATCGGCTGTTTGGGTCACACAGTTCTTTACTCCGTCATCGAGTTAAATTTAGTTTAGTTTAGTTTAGTTTAGGGATACTGACTTCTCTGAAGACAAGTCAGCTAAACGGAGGTCCCATATTGCTGCTCAACTACGGCGATCATAGATCGAATCTCCTTAGACAATCGATGAGATTCGAAAAACGAATTCTATACCCTGAATCGTTGCACGTCATTGTTGATTTGGATCTTTGTTTCCTCCCTCGGATATGGTCAAGCAGCCAGCATAAGGTTTACGCAACTTGCAAGCTTATTTTCGGCCGGGAAGTTTAATATAACGAATACGATTGTCTTTGTATGAAAAAGCGTTCGAGGCGGTGTTCGAACCATGGGAAGCTCAGCCGCACAGCACTTTCTTCCGCAATCGGACTCATCGGCTGGGTTTTGATTGTACCCGTCTCGGACAGGTTTTTTGAGGTCAGCCCGTTTTTTGGCACTCATCAGAGGATCTTTTAGGATTCGCAACTTTTCGGGAAGAGAGTATAATAATCCATGAATAGCCTAACCTTTCTAGCTTAGTCAAAACCTGCTTTGTTTCGCGCCTTTCCACAAACTTTCAAGGATTCTTCCCTTTAATCACCGGTGAGTTTCAGATAGGGCTTCTTCCTGGAGTGTAGTCTTACGAATATGCAATCACTAGGAAGTTATCGCATCCAAACTTGTATGGTAGTTTTGTAACCACCATTCTCACTGCAGCACGAGGGAGTTTCATAAATTACCTACAAACGTTTACGTTGTTATTCGCTTGATCAAAGACACCTTGTCATAGTCACCTCACTAACCCTGTTCGGAGTCTACGTACAATCGATCATACTTCTTGGTAGTCGTACCTAGCGGTCCAGTGTACTTGTCAGCGCTTCATTTTGTTCCACCTATTGAATCCAGACTCGGATTTTCCGCCTTTTCCGGCCTGATAAATTTCATGTCGTTTTGGTCATTTTCTATGCCGATTCCGTTTTACTCGCGGAGACCTTTTGTGCGCCTAATCTGAGTTAGGTTGCCAAGGTGACCATACCAGCGCAAGGAAGATTGCTCAATCAAAACGAACGATACTTTGGAGATTAGGTGCCTACGTGCCCACAAAAACAGTTGCCTAAAGATGAGGGCATATGGACAGTGTTCAGTGCAATAAATCACTACTCTATCATGCTTGCGTCCCCCACATCGAACGCCGACTGCATAGGTTGTTCTAAAGGACAACAAATTTGAGGACAGACCGTTTACACATGAATGATTTTCATTGTAAAGGAGGCGAACCAAGTGAATGGTTGGATAAACACAAGAAATGTGTGTGCTTTTTAACCCATTTGGAAATTCAAAATAGCGATAAAAGCACCGGTTTCATTCTAGTTGGTTTACTCAAACTGTTCATCGTCCATTTGTCTTTGAATTTTGCGAGGATTCTGCCGACAACGATTGCAATATCTGGCTTGTGTCCGAGGCGATCATTTTTTGTACTCTAAGTTGTTCTGAAACTTAAAGTACACTTGTAAAAGACCCCCCATGATAAACAACCAAGTTGTGCTGCTTTTCCAACAGCAGTTGTCATAGCTTTTTTGACGGGCGAGATGAAGGTTTTAGTCTGACGCTACGGTCAATATTTTAGAGATGAGTTCCTTATCGAAGACTGTCAAATATATCACACAAACTACTCAATACTGCAGTCACGTGAGCATCAGTTAGGATGTTGTACTGGCTGGTGCTCGCTAACTAGCCTATCGAGTCCAATCGGAATTAATTCCGACAGTTACTGATAAACCTTTCGTGCGTACAGCAACGGCTTGTGCCGAATGATCAGAAGTTCTTTGAGTGGCCACATCTCTTAAAAACTCTGGACGATATTTGAAGCTCAACCTTGTGCCTTGCCACATTTACGTCCCTCGTGACCTTCGATTTGACTCTACATCCAATAGGTTGTGGGTTGCTGAATAGCCCCGGAATTCGATTAGGCACTTCTATCTTGGTTCTAAGTCTTCTCTCGATTCTACCAGTGTGTTAAGCAAATGTCGGTGAATTGTTATATGCGATGAGTTGTTAATGTGTGGTGTATGGATGGGTGATGATGACTGCGCCGTACAATCCATAGTTTCCTAAAGTCGCATTTAGTCTTTTCTTAAGAAGTTAGGGGCGCTCACAGTGTATTCTGAGGCTAGTAAGCGACTAGCGATTTGTCCCAAATGCAACTGATTTGAAAGTCACATGATCAGTCGCAGGACGCGGGAACGAAACGAAGCACAAGGTTGAGCTGCAATCACCGTCAGTGGATTTAACTGACCAAAGTGACTCAACTTTCTTGAAGCACTAGTGGTCGACCAGGTCAAGCCCTTGTTGCGAAGGTCTTCGGAGTTTTCCTGAGGTTAACTTGGTTCTATTAACCAGGTGCTGTTTTGTCAACAACTGGTCTTTTTTTCTCGCATACGCTTGACGCACAGCACTCCTGACAGCTTCAAGCGAAGTTATCTTTTTCTAATTGGCTGTCACATCAGTGAGGCTGTTCTCCCGTGATTAGCTTGAGATAGCTTAGTGGTTAATGTATAAGCTTAGTGATCGGAAGGTCCGCGGTTCAAATCCAACCACAAAAGCTTGACTGCCACTATCTATGCTTGGGACACTTAGCCAGACCTCAGTCATCGTACTTCCTTCAAGCATGCACCGAGAAGGTGCCACAGGTAGAGCCCTCTGTGTATGAAATCTCTGAAATACGATTAAATATAGATTTTATTCACCTGAAAATCTGACTTGGTTTTTCCAGGTATGTTGTATTGCATTATCTTGCTGATTAATCTCCAACATCTAATCTATCACAATGAGCCATTTCTTGAAGCATAAAGCTGCCACAATTTCCTGGAGCACAACTCCAGAAGTCACTGTCTGCTTCTGTTCAGGGATTTTTTGTTTGATGTGTCTATTTGACACTTATTCTGTCCCCCAGCTTCGAACGGAATAGAACCGACCTGTCCGTCATGTGGATAAGTCTTTGTGGAACGCTACCTACCAACTTGCTGATGTAAACGTTAAATGATGACTTTATTCCCTTCCACTTGCTTCACCTTTCTTGTCACCTGCCATGGCTATCCATGTCCCCACGAGATCCAATCAATAATCCGGAAACCTGCTCACTCGCCTACAATTTGATAACCTTGCACCATTCTTCATTACCACTAGCTATCTTCATTCACCAACGAGAATAAGTCGTGAAATTCGAACCACAAGAATGGTGCCCATCCAGCGAATAACAAGCAAATTATCGGTGGTTCTTCTCTCTTGATATGAACGATGTGCTACATTCATTCAATGAGGGGACCCTCCTAAGAGCATTTATAAGGTTTCAGAATAGAATAAAAATCGCTCCCTGAACCAAAAATCAAACGAGGGATTTAGCTGGGTTCCAAGTGAATCTCTCGCGAAAACCGAATTAGTTTGCAGGTGAGTGTATCTCGCTAATTAAGTGCGATTCGGGTTCGAGTAGAACATAAGGTGGATGGAGACTACGAGACTGCGCCTATCTGATGAGCCTCAAGAGGGGCGAAACCGGTCGTGGTCAGTCGGAGAGCTTTCATCAACTTTGTCAGTAATGTATTACGACTATATATCAATCGCAATATCTCGAATATCGTACCAACTGGAACATGAGGCGGCCTGGTGCAGCACATTCACTTGCCTAGAAACATCACAAACGAGAGATTCAGCTGGTCGCAAAACCAAATTTGTTTGTAAATGAGTGTATTCCGCCATACCTGTTTGAAAAGCTGCCCCTACGGCGATCGATAAAAAAGGACGAGAAGACTTAAACTTCCATACTTCAATAGATTGCCTTCCAAAACACTGGGCGTCCCACTTAACTTTGGTTGTCACAGAGTTGGTCCAATCACACTGACCCTCAATGGCTACAATGTATTCCGGCTCAAAATTTCCGCTTCCTACGGCCCTGGTTCTAATGATTAGCAGACACTCAACTGATGTACTCTGACAAATTCATGTTTGGGAGTAGAGATATTCTTCCGGAAAAATCTACCTTTTGTGTGTTACTACAGCATAGCCTAGTTATTATTACGTATAAGATTCAGTCACTCTTTGCGGTCCAATTTTATCGGTAAAAGCCAAGCCCCAGCTTCTGAAAAACAAACGTGTTTGGACGTCACACACTACTCGTTAGGTCACTGAAAGCTCTTGGACGGCCCACATCTGGTTTCACCCTTCTGCTTTGGGCTCATCAGTTACGCTCAGTTCCCGAGTGTCCGTCAACCTTGAACCCGATTTGCATGAAATTCGACAGATAAAACAAATTTGATTTTCACGGGAGACTCACCTGAATCCCAGCTGAATCTTTCGTTTATGGAGTTCCTCTTCAAATAAAGGTTCTGCTTTGGAACACTTCATTTCTCAGTTGATACGCGGGATTTCAGATGAGTCTCACGTAAAAACCAAACTCTGTTTGCTTTCAGGTTTTCCGAATGCTCGTCTGTGTGAAGGTGCAGTCATCTTTGTAGCTCGCATAAGCGGAACAAACTACGCTAAAGTTATTGATTCATACAATATGAAATTCACTCACACCTACAGGAAGGTTGTCCCTTTTTGTTCAACCTTGCGTTTTGTGTCGTGAACATTACTCTTACTGCTATATTACCGCTGTGCATCCCCCGCCCCCCCCCACACACCCCACACCCCCGTGCCCCCCCCCCCCCCCCCACACACCCCACACGTGGAGAAGAGACAATGAATGCCTGCGCTGTCCAACAAGGTTTGTGTATCGTTCAATCATTGTCTCTAGTCGGAAAAGTAAACAGGATGACAGATGTTCATACATTCTGTCCTCCGTGGTTTTTATGTAGGCCAGATTGTATCTTGGTACAATGGATGAAGTCCGATGGTGAAAATCTGTATCGGATTGAACCAAGACTGGAGTAACAATGACTTGTGAAAAGCATTCACCGATTTGACATGACTCAGATCAAAAACAACAATTACTGCGTGCGTAGCCTTTGCGGAATGAATGTGCTCGTTATCTGAACTCTAACTAGATGTAGTACAAATGCTATGCAACAGATCAGAGATAAAAGCCACGGCAGATGGTTAAGATGCTCGTCCGGTATTCAGTGTAAACGTCAGCTCCATATGTCTATCCGCCACAACCCGAAATCGGTTCGTCCTGACTGGTGGTCGTCATGCAGTCGTGGCCTGATAATTCCAGTTTGGTGATCGAGCTGGCGAAGCTTTTGTCCTGCCAGTGAGATTATTCTTTGTTTAGAAACTGAGAAGAACTCTACAGCTGTATCGTTCAACAGTATAAATCGTGCGAATCTCTATGGAAACTCAAACCCGCAACCTCCGGCGTAGTGGTTAAAGACTGAACCGTTCGGCCACGAAAAGTTGATCAGCGTGGTGTTTAACTCATACTTAGATAGGATATTGCCCCTACCTCATGCTTCATTCACGAAATCACATCACACAGTAGTCACCTTATGTTTGTTTCCTTGACTGACGACACCCCGGGTATTGGCCTTCATCACCAACGCACTTTGGAACTTTCTTGATTCGCAATCGAACTGTAGAAAGGCGTCAAATCACAGCTGCAGTTGTCTTCCCAACCGGTCCTCATCATGCTTTTTGCAACCGTACTTCAAGACATTGACTGGTTTCAATGGACAGCAACTGCATACTGAAGTACTTGTTGAGTGCATATCATCCTGTAAATGCAACCAGTAGTATGTAGCATCCTCGAAGTTATTCAGCAAATCTACAATTACCACACACACAAAGTGAGCGAAACGTTATCTACCAAAAAAGATACGGAAAAATTCCGGACTTACTTGGACTTAGTCACACTCAAGGCAACCATGCCAGAGGCACCTACAGACTCGTACGCTGTAGTGCTCTCTGAGACTAGCCGCCATGTAGTCTACTGAGCTCCAGTCTTACACAGTCTTACCGCCATACAAACAAGAGAGACTTGCGTGACCACCAGCAAGTCAAACTGTGACCCACAGGTTTCGTTCTTCTATCCTGTTCACGTGTAGCTGAATCATACTCAGTTCAATCTGTGGAGCTTTCAGTGCGGTACCGAGAGTAAACTGTTCACGCTCCCAGTCCTATTCGGTTGTTTCCTCTTCGCATTTGGAATTTTCAATAATGATAGCAAAACACACGACTAAACAACACCTGAAAGCAAAAACGAAGCCTTTCGTGTTGAATGGGTTCATGCACACAATCAGTCGAGCAATTTGGTTTAATATTAAAATGAATCACTACCCCTATGTATCTGACTCGGTCACGTGTGGACTCCCTCCGGTGTCTGCGTTGTTGTTGATGATGATGATGTTACAAGTCTGTCGTGCCCAACCCCGCGCTGCATGAGAGACCTATTCGATGTGTGTTGGATGAGGAGCAAAAAATCGTGTTTATCCATGCATGACGCAGTGAATGATAACAACCATATATCTGGGCTCTCCCTTGGGAAAAAGGAATTTTGTCCAAAAATCGATAGGAGTTTTGCGCCCACCTAGGACTTTGTTTTCCCCGGGTGTGAAATTATATTGCCACCTTCGTGATAAAACATTAATCTCCTGGAACATGGAGAAGAATTCCGTCAGGCACACAGGTAGAATGGAAAACAAAATTTCATATTACTAGTAAAAGCTGTGGAACCAGATGGCCACTTACGGATATTTATGCCGATTCCAGAATCATGCAGCCGCATTAAAAGAAAGTGTTCTGAAGTTCAGAAATGGAACCAAAAACTCAATCAGAAGTAACCTCTTTCGCGATCGTCTTCTTACGAAAGCATTGCACCGACCTCTTTGCTAAGTGATGCTTAAACTACCGATGTGAACTGATCTAAATTAGCCGGGAAAAATCGATAAAAGTAGGCTCGATCAGCCACGTTATTCATAAACAGAAAGTGTGCTTCTCTTCAACTCCCAATTAAGTCTACTGATGAAAGGAGGAGTTGTTCATTAGCAAACATCAACTAAACAGTCATAAACTGCTGGACAGGAAAGTAAACGTCTCATCTTAGTTTTTTTTTAAACTGAACAGCCTCAGGCGTATTCCTGAACTTTCGTGGATATTCATTGACTATCACGCAATTGTAGCTCCAGAGGTTCCGTAATAAACCTCACTTTCCATTAGGCATGATGCGGGGTTACGAGAAAACAACATACTGCTCGCACGCTTCATCAGTAGTATTCGCCTTTACAATGGGGACCATTCGAAACGCGAACTCTCGAACCATACCAAACAACGTGTAGATCTAAGTCAGAGGTTTGGATGCATTCCATTCTTCAATTGACCCTTCCAACTGATACAACATTGGTCTTTATACTTAATTCGGAAACAGCTCACTGTGGGGCTGAAGACATTTGGTAAAAAACCATACAAAAAATGTGAAAGTATACAAAGTGGGCTCTGTTAAGTGGGAACCTCGGTCTGGATCCACCGATCATTTTGTGTTGTTTATTTCTCGAACAATGTAAAGTTATCCAATAAGTCCGTGCGCCAAGTGGGGCGGGGCAAGTATAACGATGAAGGTCGGAATGATATCGGGTAAGTGAGAAGTGAAAATCAGAGGAACCTGTAAAAAAACTGTATTTATTTTATGATGTCAGACTGAACGTTATACATACTGATTGGAAAATATTACTGAAGGCTGGGAACTTGGAAGACACAGCGTTCGAGATGACGGATTATCTAACCAGGATAATCAAGGCTCATGTCCTTAGCTGAACAGGAGAGTCAGTCA